GGCCATAGCAGGACTTCTCTCTCTCAGAGACCAGCTCCTCAGCCACCAGCTACAGCTCCGAGTTCAGCAGGCGCCTCCTGAGCACCTACATCTGTGAGTCTGCAGCCGGCAGCAGCCCCGCCCCATCCCTGCTTAGCTCCGCCTCCTTTTTGTGCTCCCCTGCTGTTCCCATCTCCCCCCTCCCCCCCCTCCTGAGCCCCAACCCTTGGAATAACCTATGGTTCAGGGGCGGAGGGGGCTGGGCAAAGGGCTCCTGAGGCTTGTGGCGCCTGGAGTTGGGGGAGGGACAGGAGTGACAGGTAGGACTTGGTTTGTGGGGCCCGGGATTGGGTCGTTTTGGTCACACTGCCCTGTGGGCGTGGCCACATCGTTCCCTGTGCAGGTAAAGTCCTGGGGAACCTGCAGCTGAACTTGCTGAGCAAGTCCAAGGTGTATGAGGACCCAGCTCTGAGCGCCATCTTCCTGCACAACAACTACAACTACATCCTCAAGGCCCTGGAGAAGTAGGTGCTCGGGGCTGGCGTGCCCTCCGTGTGCCCAGTGGGAGGGCAGGGCTTCACTCCTCGCGGCCCCAGGACCAGGGGCGTGTGTGCTGCCTTCTTAGAGCTCGTGAAGGTGGGGTGGGAAGGGCAGGCCCCTGGTGCCGCTGCCCAGGCCCATAGCCAATCCCGTCCCCTCTACTCGGTCCCCTACCCGCCCCCCAGGTCGGAGCTGATCCAGCTGGTGGCTGTGACCCAGAAGACTGCCGAGCGCTCCTACCGGGAGCACATCGAGCAGCAGATCCAGACCTACCAGCGCAGGTGCGAGGCTGCCCTCCACTCGCCCCACCCCTGTACTCACCACTCACGCTCCCTTCTCAGTCTCAGGACACTGGGCCCAGTCGGAGTGGGGTCAGTAACGGGGAACTGTTGCCCTGTGGACCCCAATCCTTCTCTTGTGTTGTAGTCAAATTCAGGGGGTGGCGATGGGAGCCCCCCCCCCCACTGCTGGCTCCCTAGGGGGCCTCAGAGGGCAGAGAGCAGTCTGCCTGCGAGGGTGAAGCTAAGCGTGTTTGAAGGGCTGACGGCAAAGTGGGCAATGTTTGGCCCAAGCAAAGAGCAGGTTGCACGAGCACTTGACCTTGGCTGAGCTCGCTCTGCAGAGCTCCCTCTTCTGCTGCGGTTGTGTCTCCCTCCGTCCTTCCCCTGGAGGTGTCTTCCTCTCCCTTCCCAGTGTCTGTGCTCCGCCTCCGCCTCCTTCCCTCCTCCCCTGCTTCTCCGTCTTCACTTGCCGGGAGGCTGACGTGCAGCGGAGGTGATAGTACTAGTATCCGCTCCGTTTATTGACTGCTGTTTCCTGTACAGTTTTAAAAGCGAGCATCTCAAACACTTTCTATTCCCGAGGAGAAACCTCAGTTGTGTTTTGCTTAGTTGTGACCCAGATGGATTCCTGCCCTCCCCGTACCGCTCAGTAGATGAAGAGATAAAAATAAAACACACACAGCAAACCAAGCAAACCAGCCCCAGGAAGCAGCAGCTGCCTGAGCCGGCCCTCTGCTTTCTCTCCCTGGCAGCTGGTTAAAGGTGACCGACTACATCACTGAGAAGAATCTACCTGTGTTCCAGCCGGGAGTCAAGGTGGGCACAGGGCCTGGGCTGGGAAGGGTGTCTAGCAGGTGTCACCCTGATTGTCATGCCTCTGGGAGAAAATGGACAGGAGTCCCTGTGGGGTGAGAGCAGGGGGTGCCTGTGGCCCTCGGAGCAGCAGGAGCGGGCTGGGCTCGGGTGCTGGGGGAGGGCGGGGCAGGCGCCTCTCTCTGAGGAGAGCTGTCTCGGCCCCCAGCTCCGGGACAAGGAGCGGCAGGTGATCAAGGAGCGGTTTAAGGTGAGTCAGGACCCCGTCCCCTCCACTGCTTGCTGCTGCTGCTGCTGCTGCAGCAGCGACACACACCCAAACATTTGTCTCCGGGTCCCTTCTCTTCCCACCTTGCTGGCGGCAGGGCTTCAATGACGGCCTGGAAGAATTGTGCAAGATCCAGAAGGCCTGGGCCATCCCCGACACAGAACAGCGGGACAAGATCCGCCAAGCTCAGAAGCACATCGTCAAGGAGACCTACGGGGCCTTTCTGCACAGGTGAGCCCGTCCCACTCCCCCACCCCTCCCATCCCCCGCTCAGTGCTCTGCCTCAGGGACACCCCACGGGAAGGCCCCTGCGGCGGAGCTGGGGAGGAGGGAGGCCTCCCCGCTGACCTCAGTGCCTGGCAGGTACGGCAGCGTGCCCTTCACCAAGAACCCTGAGAAGTACATCAAGTACCACGTGGAGCAGGTGGGCGACATGATCGACCGCCTCTTTGACACCTCCGCCTGAGCCTGCGCGCTCCCTGCCCGGCGGCACCAGGCAGCGTGGTGTTGGACACATAAACCGTGTTAACTTGCCTCTGGGCCAGGGGAGTGTGGTGTCCTTTGGGACAGGGACGTTTCTTCACTGCCAGGGCCCGAGCCCTGGCCCTGGGCCCTTGAGTCCTGGTTTGTGCCTCTCCCCGCGCCCTCTCCCACCCACCCCCATCCCCCACCAAACAGCACTGCCCTGCACCGGGCTTCCTGCGCACCTGGGGTTTGTGTCCCGACCGCAGCCTGCAGGGGCCACGTGAGGGCTTCAGGACGGGAAAGGACAGAGGAAGACAAAGGCCTCGCCCAAGCTGCCTGTGAGCACGAGCAGGAGGCAGAACCACCCCGCCAGCCCAGTTCACAGCTGGGGGAGCGCTCCCCATTCAACACAGGCATGTGGGTGGAGAGGCACAGGCCACATGGCTGCAGGGGGCCTCGAGCAAAACCCAGCAAGATTCACCTGCTCAGAGTCCATGCCGACAACACATGCCCCATTGCCCACATCCCGAGGGCTGGGTGTTCTGCCCCCAGGAGGCGCTCTCCCCAGTCCTGGGGTCCAGCACACCTCAGCAGCTCAGGAGTCCTGACCACCCCAGGCGGCCTGACCCTCGGGGCCCTGAACCAGGCCTCCTGGCCCAGGCCAAGCAGCTGGAGTCACAGAAGGAGCAGGTGTGGGGGCGGGGCTGGGTGACTGGTGGCCACTGGTGAGAAGTTCAGGCGTGGAGTGGGGGCCCCACCTACACAGGGCAAGAGAGAACAGCTGAGCTCAATGAAAGCCGACCCTTGGGGGGCACTGTTGCACTTGGGTGATGGTTTATTTCACACTCGTTGCTTGCGTGCAAACAGAAGGGAGAGCCTGGGGCCTCCAGGCCTAGGGAAGAGTTGGCCTCCCTCCCTGTCTCCAGAGACCCTGCAGGGCCCACCCCAGACCTGCAGCCCCAGCCCTGCCCTGTTACGGCCTCGGCTGCCCCCCGTGGGGTACGGCCTCGCCAGGGGCTGGGTCAGATTTGCACGTCGCCCACATCCAGAGCCCAATGAAGATGAACTGGCTGCACACCACCCCTGCCACGTAGAGCAGGAAGAAGGTGTGGTCCGCAGCCTCGGCCCAGCTCCTCCGTGACCCCGCTCCTCGGGGGGCCTCTGTGGGGAGAGGCAGGAGCAGGAGCTGCGCTCCAGGCCTCCCCCTTCTCCCAGAGCAGGAGCCCCGGCACTGGCAGCGGGTTTCTCCCTTCCCTGGGTTCCCAACTAGTGGACGTGGGGCTGGCCCACTGCAGGCCGCCTGGAGGTGAAAGCCTTGTAGAGAGGCTCCCAAGGCACAGGGTCTCCTTGTGGAGCGCAGTCACCAGGCCTCAGGGAAGCTCACCTCGCTCCCTGCTCAGACCTGCTGCTCCCAGGGCCGACGTGGTAAAGCTCAGGGACGGGCCAGCAGAGTGAGTGCCAGGGCCCTCTAGCCCAGGGACCCCTAGCCCCACCCCCAGGGGTGCAGCTTGCCAGCTCCGCCCATCCAACCTGCTCCCAGCCTCCTTCCTCACCCACCTTCAGGATTCGGCCCTGCCTCCTCATGAGCTTGCTGCTCCCCTCTCGGGGCTGGGCCAGGGCTGCGCTTGGCCCTGAGGTGGCCCCGGGCCAGCAGCCCCGCCAACAGCACGGTCTCCACGGTGCTGACGAAGAGCAGCAGCAGCTGGATGGTGAAGTAGTGAACTGGAGAGGGGCGTGGCCGAGTCAGGGGCCAGGCCTGTGCCTCCAGGCCCCGGGGAGCAGAGCAGAGGGGGAAAGGCTGGGCAGTGGTCCTGCCCGGGGCCAGGGGAGGGCACAGGGCTTACTGAGCAGTGGGTTGCAGGAGGAGGAGCTGGGCAGGACCTGCACCAGGGAGGAGTGGAAGACGAGGTAGCCCAGCAGCAGGGTCACCTTGTAGGCCATGCGCTCCGGGGCCTGCAGGGGGAGCAGCCCCCCGCACATGTCAGCCAACAGCAGCGCCTCCCCGGGCACCAACAGAGCCAGGATGGCCTTCAGTGCTGTGTTCTGTAGGTGCAGCTGGAAGGGAAAGGGTTCGGGCTTTCTGGGGGTGTGCACAGGGGTGGGCAACAGAAGGCTGTCATGCCTCTGGCTCCGCATCCTTGATGCCCCTGCCGCCCTCGTCAGCCACCTGCCGACTCACCTTCACCTGGAAGCAGGGCACCAGCTGCTGGGGCGGGACCTGGGTCTTCAAATCCCCAACTACATACTCCCTCTTGACACTCACGATCTCGTTCACCACGTGGGCCTGGAACTCCAGCTCCATCACTGGGGGAGGGTGGGAGAGAGCCGTGAGCTGAGAAATACCACTGCCCCCTTCCATCTCCTGGGGGCAGGGGCAAGCTGGTGCCCAGGGGTGATGGAGACTTCTGGTGGCTGCCGGGCAGACTTGGCGGTGACAGTGGCCCATGCAAGGGCTTTCCCAACTTCATTCCCCCCCCCCCCCCCCCAGTCTTCTCCAAGTTAGAGGAAGGGCTTTTTCAGACTCAGACGGCTTTCCATTGTAAAAATAAATGCACTTTGCACCACTGCATGGAGGGGGCGCCGTTGTGGCCTCATCCACCAGTGTCTCATCTCACACCTGAAATACTAGGGCTCCTGGGCGGCCGCTGTGGCATTGCCCAGAGGGGACGGGTGTAAGGGAAGGGTGGGCCTTCTGCCAAGCTGGACACCACCCGGCGAGTGTGTGGGGTATTGCCTGGGTGGCTACACCTTCAGGATGTCTCCAGGGGTGAGGCCGCAGCAACCTGAGCGGACACCAGCGGCCTGGCCGCTGCATTTGGCCCAGCTGTTGAGGGCAATTGCTTTGCTAGCGGAGGCGGAGGGGAGGAGACTGAAGTGGGGCCGGGCTGCTGTCTGAGTGGGAGGTGCAGGGTGAGGAGCACGCTCTGCTCCTGGGTCGGTCCAGCTCCCTGAGCCCGGGGCAGATGGGTGTGCACACAGCCCGCTATCCATCCCGCCCGGCTGGTCAGCACCCGTGTTGCTGAGGGCATAGAAGCTGAGGGTGCAGTTGCTCTGGTCTCTGGGGAAGTGGAGGAGCTCGAAGTCACAGTTGGTCTCCGTGGTGAGGGCCAGGTAGAGCTCGACGCGGCCATCTTGGTCCACTTGGGCCTGTGGGGTCTGGTCCTGCCAGTCCACCCAGAGCCTGCGGGGAAAGACACCACAACCAGAGGCCCAGCCCCCTCTGAAGGGGGAGACGGGCATATGCCCAGCTGCCATCCCCTGCCCTCAGGGTTCCCAGAGGCGCGCCAGTGCTCTGCCAGGGCCACCGGGAGGGCATTCACTAATGGCCTCAGGGGAGACAAAGGGACATGCAGTGGCTCCTGGGACGAGAACTCACGCCTCCTGGATAGTGAGTTCCGGTGTCCACAGAGAGTCCCAGGGCAGTGTAAGGGCACGCCGTGGGTGCACACTCGCGTTCCAGGCCAGGCGCGTGTCCAGCCAGGACTGGGGACACAAGGACCCCACTAAGGTTCTGTGTGTACATGCCGCTCGGCAGGTTGATGAAGACGGTACTTCTGAGCTGGACTCAGAGCGGGCTCTGCCCACCCCCCGGGGGCTCTCACCAGCCGGAGCAGCAGCATGGAGGACACTGTGTACCGAAGGATGTCCTGGGGAGGGGCAGCACGTCACCTGAGGGTTGGCTGCTACGTGACACAAGAGGGCGGGAGACCACAGCACTCCAGGGACTCGGTCCCGTCCCTTCCCGCTCAGCACTGGGGTCCCGCCCCTCCTGGCCCGGAGGACACTCACCACGTTGAACACGTTTGTCACAAACACCTGCACGTCCACGCGCAGGGGCGCGCTCCCGTTGCTGGGAATCTGGGTGGTTTCATGAACTCCCAGGGGTGAGTTGAGGTCGAAGAAAGATGGCCAGGCTGAGGGATGGAGGTCGAGGTCACCTGGGTGCGTTGGGGCCCAAATCCCAAAGCTCATGACCTTACGGCTTTCACCTACCAACCGCTGGTGCGCCGAAGCTGCGGCCCCGGACCAAGGGCCTCGTGGTGCCAAGTCCCAGCAAGGCGAGCTGGAGCAGGAGCCGCAGGGCCATCATCCGCAGGGGCTGCAGGGGGAGGTGGAGCAGCAGCGCCCACGCTAACCTCTGCTCCAGGCACTTCTCTGGGGGACTGGGCAGTTGGTCAAGGCAGCTGCTCTGTGCAATGACCCTGGAGCCTTGGGCTCGGCACCCCCACCCCACCCTGGGTTCTGCAAACACCCGGAGACAAAGCCCAGGACCAAGCCCTGCCCACCCTGCACCTGCCTGGGCTTCCTGTCTGTCCCGCCCCACTTCCACCACCTGGAACGGTTGCCAGTTCACGGCCAGCGAAGTCGGCCCCGCCAGCACAGAGCCGCCCCCATCCCCAACCGGCCTCGGTCCTTCCAGTCTAGGCGGGTGCCTTTCCGCAGTGGGTGCCCGCCTGGCTAAAAACACGCCCTCGTTCAGTGCCCTGCACTCAACGCTGTGAGATGAACACACCTTGGAGAGGGACCTGCCTCTCCTGAAACACTGAACCGACTTCATGTGAAAAGCCTTGGCTCAAGGACTCCAGGAGGGGGAGGAGGAGCCCGGGGTCAGGTGGGGGCTAGTTCAAGAGCAAAGCGCCAGGGCGCTCCTGTTCGCACCAGATTCTCAGCCTGCGCCAGACAGCAGTGCCTCCGGACCGCCGGTGTGGCCCCGGAACAGGACCCGCGGGGTGGGGCGCGCCTTTCCTGTCCCAAAGGAGAACCCGAGCTGTTGGAGACCTGGTCCCAGACAGCTGCACTCAGGGAGGGGGTAGGACACCCCAAGGCTGACAGTCTGTAGGCACCGATAGGGCTGCTGAAAGGGCCCCAGGGAGCTGGGAGCAGCCGAGGCCCCGCCACACGCGGGCGCACGAACGCTACTAGGAACATAGTGTCTGCGTCCGTCATCGACCCACTGTATCGAGTGCTTAACCTGCCTGTCGGTGCCACACGCATCGGCGGCGGCGGGTTTGCCGATCTGCTGGCACCCGGCGCTACCAGGTGGCCGCGTGCAAAGAGCCTTCGCCTGGCGCGTGCTCCCCAGCCTCACGCATTCAGGGATTTCTACGCCGGTTTTCAGCTCCGCTGTCCTGAGCGCGCGCACTCGCACCCGATCAGCCAAAGTTCCGCTGTGAAGCCCCAGAGATCTCACCGCAGACCCTCAAGACACAGCGCGGCGCGGCACGTGAGTCGGTTTGCGCATTTTATTAACAGACGAAACCACCCACCATCCCCCGACCTCCGACTCCAGTCCTTTCACACACGAGCGTCCCCGCTAAGTCGCATTAACTGTCAGGCTGCCGTGGGGGACCTTTTGGTCCCGCCAGGACGGGCCCGGGACCTGGCACGAGGCCGGGACCCCGGGAGGCGCCGGCGCAGGGGCGGACGGCCCGGCCGCCTCGCTTCACGTGCGTGAGGTCCGTGGACTCGCGCTCCAGCACGCTGCCCCCCGCGGGGGCCTCGGCGCCGCCACGCACGGGCGGCCCGAGGTCCGGCGCGGGGCGCGG